TAATAATAATATTGAAAGTATTGAACTTGTAGAACTGGGTATTATCACTCTACAGACTGTTTCATGCTAATGCAATCTTCAGGAGTGAGAGAATACAAGGGTTGTGCGAGTATATGAATGCTATGACAGGTGAAAATGCAAATGAGTTAATTGTTTTTAAGTAGGTATTTGTTGTTGTGCCTGCATTTAGACAATAGCTCGGTCCTTTTGTTTAGTGTTGACTGTTTGTCTGAATATATTATGTGAAGTTTCTCGGTTATGCACAGGTTGCAGCATTTTGTTTTTGGGGAGTAAGCCGATGCTCTGTCGATGATAGACCATTTAATGTTGTAGGGTGTGTTGCTATGTAAGGTCGGGGTTTCGAGTTCCAATTGTAAGGTCGGGGTTTCGAGTCTCCGCCGTGAAGATTCGCTTGTGTCCTTGGGCAAGGCACTTAAGCTACATTGCTTCAGTCCACCCAGCTGTATCAATGGGTACCAGCAAACTGCTGGGGACTAACCTGCGATGGACTAGTCCAGGGGAGGACAACTCTCATCTGATTCACACTACAGAAGGGGATAAGCTCCACACATAAAAATATATATACATATATATATATATATATATATATACATATACACACATATATATATACACACATATATACACATATATATATATGTGTGTGTGTGTGTGTGCAAAAATAACCTATAAAATATAATTAGATCAACTGACGTTTTCGGTCCCGTCTGCAATCAGGAAAATACCATTCGGAATGAAGGGGTGCCATCTGTTTTTTCGGCTGTTTACGTTCTGGTCGCTTCTTGATTTTCTATAACAGCATAGGCCTAGAGGTGTTTGCTTGAGAATGTGGTACAGAAAAATAATGCTGTAGTTCTTAATGTTTTTCAATATTTCCGTATGACAAAACTCACAACCTTAATAACCCAGACGAATGGAATACACTAATGGCTGTGGCAAAACGAACCGGCATGTTCCTTCCGTCATTTCCATCTCCATTTACCCCCTGAACCACTGCCTTAATTTTCCTACATTAATGATGTAGACATGTCTCATAAACCTAAAAAATAAATAATTAAATTCAAATTTGATTGTTTAAATTAACGACGGACAGTTAATATAATGCATTTCTTCATGCGCAGACCTGGCTGAGGAATTTTGTAATAGCATAAAATAAAATGTTTATCTAAATCATTTGATCTGTTTCCGGTTGGATGTTAATAAACTCACCATCCTCTTTCCTGTTTACACTATTTATCTGTTGAGTACTATACATCATCATACGATTAATAAAAAACGCCAGTCATAGTATCATACCAAAGAATATAAAACTGCAGTTCTATACTTATTGATTACTCTTTTGATTATACGTAATTTCATAATATAAAAATGAAGAAAAAAAGAATTTACGTTTTTAATATAAAGTGTTTTATTTACTTTTCCATTTCAACACAATGTGTAAGAAACATGCACTGTATAAGAAATTGCTAATCGGTAAATCATATAAAAGCATCTTTTTTCAATCTACTGTATGCCATCTCGTTCGAATTTATATACATGGAAAAAGAAAATGCGAGACACTGACAATGGAAAATATACACAGGTAAAACATGTGTTCTTTTTTTTTCACAGTTCTAAGTAACTAGTTCGACGTTTGTGCGGTGTTTGCTTTGTGTCGAATGTGTAGAGCGAAACGAACCAAGATAACGTGTGGTCAAACCTTGTTGTCGTTGGGCAGAAAATTTACCCTGATTATTGTCCTTCGTAAAGGACGTTAGCCGTTGGTTTCTTATGTATAATTCACTGCAGTACGCTATTAGAAATAAGAAACTTGCCTACAAGGACTATATGTGTTTAAATTGCATTGTTTACTAAACATTTAGTAAATTCAGTTTCAAAACTTTACAGATTTCTTCAGTACAGGTCAAATTGGCTGAAAAAATGACAGATAATGTTGGAAATATTAGAGAATTTCATATCGTATTACTCTCTCATGCTAACTAAAGTGATACTTTACATTTACAATGACTAAAAATAGACCTCAGCAGTAACAATAACTTTAATGGTGTAATGGCTATGTAGCCAAATACACATTATTTTGGAACGTACTCGTATAGTGGTAAAAAAAAGAATCAAAAATTAAAAAACTAAATATATAGCCTTTGAAATGTATACTACGCATGCAAAAATAATACTGAATATACCTATGATCCTATATTCGTTTGCATAAACCCTGAACTTGGCTGAAAAGATTTATATACAGTATGATGGCATGTCGAAATGCACGCTATAGTGTCGGGATTCAATATTTCGACATTAATTATGTCATCATCAAGAATGAAAAATTATCCATATTTGCAAGCTTATATGCACAGGTACCAAAGGTGTTTAATCAATCTAAATATTACCTCTAATTGTGACATAGTTATGAATAAACTAAAGATTGATCTTTAGTTTATTCATAGCTACAATCATTTTGTTTTATTTTATCTTACCTCTAATAAATATTTAACCATGATAGTAAATGGAAAAAAGGATTTAAATGTTACATTGATTGATGGATTGATTGGTAATCCTTCAAATAACAAGATTATCTTGTGTAGTTTGAACTATATGTCTCCCTATAACAATCTAGCCTATGTATGACATGATTTTTTTTAATACCATAAAAATAATGACAGTTGCACAAAGCATTCAATACCAGCTTGGCAGTCTCGCTTTTAGAGCTTCTATTAATACTGCACCAAACTACATATGTCGCATGATGAGCAGGATCCAGTCAAGCAATCGTCCTACAACACGTGCAATAATTACTAACGGCGATTATTTTATTCCTAGACCACATAGTGAAATTTTTTTTAATTGTTTTTTAGCTATAAGGGTCCAAATTTATATACTGTAATTCTATTCCGAATTCGTTTATGTACGACTTTTGCTATTTTTAAACTTAAATTGAAACAATATACAGTATCTTGTAATTTTTCTTGTTAATCTTCTTATAAGGTTTTTAATTAATGTATTTTCACATTTTTAAAAATGATCTTTCATATCTGAATTTTATAAATTTGTGTAATTAAGTGATTCTTGTTTTTTTATTCTTGTATTGTATGAAGGCCCCTAACTTAGGATCAGCATTTCTGGATGGGACACCCTTTTGAAATATGGTATTTAATAAATAAATAAAAATGGATTACAGGTGGGATCTGACGTAGTCCGATGTCCCCAACGACAGTGTAAAGGGGCGTGGTTAAGTGTCATTAAGAAAATAGTCTTGAGAATGGTCCAGAAGGTGTATGACATTTAGGGATTTCAAAGGCTTATCTAACGATTATGTGTAAAATATACATAGAATTTCCTTTTCTCTCCGGCAAATTTGTTCGCCCCTCCCACTCCCCCACACAACTGGCGCCACTCCTGTGTGGTTTTTTCAAAATTTACGTTGTTCATAGAATGAAGAGACAAAAATACAGCAGTCGGGTTTGTGAATCATGATCAAACCGAACGTCTCTCTATTATTACATGAAGTATATGCACTTCGCTACATCTTGAAAAACAATCCCAAAAGCACAGCGAACAGCATGACACCGACTACTAGGCCTACTTGAGCCAAAGTGTGAAGAAAGGTTCTATAAGGCACTTTAGAAACACGCGTTTTTGTTGCCATCGCCGTTTTTCGAGGAGCATCTAGTAGTGCATCCATCGCGCCGTCCCAAGAGTGTGGCCCTTGAATACGGAATATGTACGGATACAACGTGCCAAAAGCAAGCTTCATCGCAATTCTTGGGCTCGTGAATATGTAACTCCAGAAACTTGGTAGAGCGCCAATGCGCCGTGCGAGGTCAAGCATGTACGGCAGCATTAGCCTGAGTCCCAAGACCTTTGAAGAGACCGATAGCAGCGAGTGTAGGTACATCTGGGTTGAAGATGTACTTGTACAATTGAAGTTCCTCCATAGAATCTATGGGAGTAAGAAATCATATGATGAAAGTGGTCAGATAGCAAGAATAAAAATATCATGTAGTCGATTGCTTAGTAGGCCTATTAAGGTTATGTATGTTTATACATATATTCAGTTGAAAACTTGCCTCTAATTTCTTTACTTTCTATGAACGGAAAACTTTTAAGATATCCTGTCGCTGTAACCAGCACATCAACGTTGTCCACGTGTGAACCATCCGTGAACACAACACCGGTTTTTGTCAGCCTTTCTATTCCTGGTTTCACCTTAATGATGATACAGTAGCAATAATTATAACTACAGTATAATGATGATGATAATTATAATAACAATAGTTATGATAATAAGGATAACAAAAAAAATGGTGATTTTGGACTTGGAGGTGGCGGCAATTATTACAACGATGATTATTGTAAGATAACTTGTTTGTGAAGATATAATAATTATAT